TTCCTTTCCTGATATTATTCAGCAAAGCTAAAGGCTGAATATAAACTGTGAAAATTGCTTTCTTTTAATAAAAATGTAGATCCCTCCTTCAGCTTTGCAAATTTTTAAATAAAATCATATTGAACTCAATTTCCATGCTGAGTTATTGTGTTTGAGTCTTATAAATAGTCATCTTGGTTTATTTTCATTTTCATAACAAAAAAGTTATTACTTTGCTTTGACTCAAATCTGTTGTCAAAAGTCTGTTGTTCAGCTGAGTTCCATATGATCTGGGAGCTGTTGGATTAATGACAATGTTGTTTAATTAATCTGTATAGTAGGAAGGTATGTCAAAGTGTGTGTGTGCTGATTTGTAGTTATAAGTTTTACTCTAGGAGGGCAGCTCAGCCCTAAGTGGTAGGACTCTGTGTACCACAGTGTCTTTCCAGGGCTTGGAAAACAGATTGAGACAAGTAGTCAATGTTGACTTTGCTCGGGAGTGTTGATCTCAGGGTGTATTTTCAGATGTAATCCGAATATGAATTGCCCTTCTCTCTATACTGGTAAATAGAGTATACAGAAAGATGATAAAATCAGTTTAGGGTTCATAAGCTGCCTTCTGAAAAATGTAAGACCTTAGAAAAATAAGTATATCATGTCCAATGAGTTAAAGTTTGTTTTATGATCTACTGCCATACCACCCTGAACGTGCCGGATCTCATCTGATCTCAGAAGCTAAGCAGGGTCGGGCCTGGCTAGTACTTGGATGGGAGACCACCTGGGAATACTGGGTGCTGTAGGCATCCAAAGCCACAGAGAAACCCTGTCTCGGAAAAAAAAAAAACCAAAAAAAATTTTTTTTGTTTTATGAAACTTTTGCTTTATGTGTATAAGCATAGCCATGTGTGGACTGGGTCCCCTGTAAAGTATTTGTGTGTTTTCTTTATAAAAGGCTAGAAAAATGGCTCAGTGCTTAAGAACACATACTGCTTTTACAGAGGACCTGAGTTCATTCCCAGTACCTGTCTGATGCCTTGAGCACCCCTCAGGAGTACATGCCCACACACAAACCATACATACAATTTAAAATAAATCTTTAAAAAACAAAAAAAAATATTTTTTGATACAGTACCTGTCTGATGCCTTGAGCACCCCTCAGGAGTACATGCCCACACACAAACCATACATACAATTTAAAATAAATCTTTAAAAAACAAAAAAAAAATATTTTTTGATATTTTTTGATTTGTAGCCCCAGCTGGCCTGGAACTCTTGCTTTGTAAATCAAACTGGCCTCAAATTCACAGAGATCTGCTCACCTCTGTCTCCTAAACACTAGGATTAAAGATAGGAGCCATCATGTCTGGCTGAAAATAAACACCAAAATAAAGTGGACAGGAATAGGAGACTGGAGACCTCTGGCCTTTTTATGCGCGCGCGCGCGCGCACACACACACACACACACACACATTCATACACACGTTCATGCATACACACACAAATACACACGTTCATGCATACACAAAGAATCACTTTTATGATAAATGAATTATTTCTCAGTTTAAAAAAGAAAAAATCCCAACATGGCCAGATTGCAGCTGCATGACAATATGTGTATTAATATAAAAGAAATTAACAAATTCCTCAAAAAAACGCAATAAAATTAAACATTGAACAAATTAAAAATTGGATTTTTTATAATTTATTTTTTTTTTTATGTACATTGGTGTTATCCCCTGGGACTGGAGTTACAGACAGTTGTGAGCTGCCATTAGGGTGCTGGGAATTGAACCCAGGTCCTCTGGAAAAGCAGCCAGTGCTCTTAACCAGTGAGCCATATCTCCAGCTCCTGATTTTTTTTTTATGTATATGGATGTTTTGTTTGCATGTATATCTGTGCAGGGTGTACACATGTTTTGCCCACAGAGGCCAGAAAAGGGCGCTGTATCTCTTGGGACTGGAGTAACAAACAGCTTCGAGCTGCCTTGTGAGTGCTGAGAATTGAACTTCAGGTTCTCTGCAAGAGCAACAGCACTCTTAAACCGATGAGCTAACTCCAGCTCCAAGCCCCCCCCTCACCCCGCCCCACACACTGTGTAGAGTTTCTCTGTGTAGCTTTGGAGCCTGTCCTGGAACTCACTAGGCTGGCCTTGAACTCAAAGAGATCTGCCTGCCTTTGCCTCCCAAGAGTTGAAGAGTGCTGTGATTAAAGGCATGGCCACCACCACCTGGCTTCCAGCTCCAAATTCCGAGTATTGTTACAGTGGCTGGAAAGTTTGAATTCTCACAGAGCTGGGGAGATGGATGGCTCAGCTATTAAGAGCATCTGTAACTTCAGTTCCAGTGGATCCAATGCCCTCCTTCTTCTGACCCCATGGACACAAGGTATACATCACACACACACACACACACACACACACACACACACACACAGGCAGAACAAATCATCCTCATAAAATACATTGAATTCACAATTCAGAACAAAGGGCATTCTCAACTCACCTTTGTGAAGATGTGATAACACAGATGGCACCACCTGACATAGACATTTTAATGAGTATATAGACCACCATCCCTCAGGATCGCAGTAACCATTGTGTCCTTCTGATGCTTAGCTAGCGCTCAGCACCCATGTGTTAAAGTTTTGTGTCCACAAGATGGTGCTGTTGGGAGGCAGGAACCTTTGAAGGCCTGGTGTCACCCAGGGAGGGTGCTCTATCCTGCCAGACCCTGCCAGGCATTCCTGCTACTAGGTGCTTCTACACCACAGTTTCAAAACAAAGGGACTGACTGATCATAGAGTAGAACCCTGAGAAACAGAGTCAAGGTTCACCCTTTCCTGTTATTGTGTCATCTCTGGTATTTCATCACCATGATGAGATGGTGACTAACACAACATCTGTAAGAAATATTAGCAAATCCAGGCTGTGTTTGTAGTTCGATCTAGTGCTTGCCTAAAACACACAAAGCCCTAGATTACATCCTCAAACCACATAAACTGAATGTGGGGACACGGCTATAATTAGTACATTGGAGGTGGAGACAGGAGAATCAGATGTTCAAGGAGAGAGGAAGAAGGAAGAAGAGGAAGAGGAGAAGAAAGAAAAAAAAAGGTGGGGCCTGCAAGATGGTTCATCAGGTAAAGGCGATTCCAACCAAGCCTAACAACCTGAGTCCTATACATGGAATCTGCATTGTCAAAGAAAAGAACCTTCTCCTCAAGTTGTCCTCTGATCTTTGCTTGCATGCTTTGGCCTGCCATGCTGTAACAAGAAAACACTCCTGTGAGCACACACAGCTTAAAATTTTTTTGTTTTTGGAAACAGAGTTTCTCTGTGTAACAGCCCTAGCTGTCCTAGAACTCACTCTGTAGACCAGGCTGGCCTTGAACTCGCTGAGATCTGACTGCCTCTGCCTCATGGGTGCTGGGATTAAAGGCATGTGCCACCACTGCCGGGCCTCACAATTTAAAATGTTAAAGACAAAAATTAGCAAATGAAGTTCAGAAATATATAAAATGATAATACTAAATGCCTGTTTGTTATCCCAGGAGTGTGTGTTTCTATTCTATTGGTGCAGCTTGGACCACTAACCACATAAGGTTGAAAAGCCACTGATAAGTGTTGACAAATGAGAGTTCCTCTACCAAAACATGATCACAGTTTGGGAATAAAACAAGAAATGTGTTAAAACTCTTTAACACTTACTTTATGGCTAGGAATAACTTTGGTGGAAGGAGGAGGAATTTGAGGCCAGCCTGAGTTTCACAGAGTTTGTTTTTCAAAATCTGGGGAGGGTGGGAGCTTGGTTTTAAATGTTTGGGGGTCATGGACATGACTGCACATTAAAAAAAAAGCTAAGCTAAGAGACCTAAGATTCTGGAACCTCCCTCTCACCGTTCAGACCCATGCCTACATTACAATAGGTCTTTGTCATTTAGATATCTCTGGCTTTTTTTTTTCCCCCTCTCTTAACCTTTGATCTTGTTAGCTACACATACTAGCACTAAGTTACATCCCCAGCCTCTCTGGCTATCTTAAGTGAGAATCAATGTCCTTACAAGGGTTTGAGGATTCAAAGGTGTGTGCTCAAACCACAGCTGTAGTTTCACAATGACTGCACTGGTGGGAATAAGGATGTCGTATTTGCAGGAAACTGAAGCCTCTTCACCAACTTCTCCCAACCTCCAGATTCAGAGCAGGGATTCTATCATGGTTGCTAGGCATTACCTGGATGGGGCCATATAGTTCCCTCTTGACCAGCTGGGTGGCATTTGACTTTGGATCATTGCCGGACTGAAGATACTAGTTATGGTGATAAACAAACACACCCTGCCAGCCAGGAGCAGTCCCTGGCCTCCCATCAGCCCATCATAAAGGTTAACAATTCATGGTGCTCATTACTGCCTACGCCCTCTGTGTTTACACATCATCTGCACTAAAAGGCTCGGAGATTTTTAGGTCTCCCAGCTTCACAGATGAGAAATCCATCCTCTCAAGAGGAGCTGGCTTCTAGGGACACTCCCCTTCACTGCTACCTGTATTAGAAGGCAGAACTGAAACAAGATCTCCTGAGTAAACTGGGAGCGCAAGGGGCTTGGGGGAGGATGGAAGGGGAGAGATGAGGAGGGAAGGGAATTGGGGGAAAATGTATAGTTCAATAAAAACAAGGTAAAAAAAATTAAAAGTTGTTAATTTAAAAAAAAAAAAAGGCAGAACTCTTTGGTTGATACCCCTCCAGCTCTCACTCTGTGGCATGGCTGTTGGGTAGTAGGTCTTCATGATTCTCTCTCCCCCTTGGAGTTTGGTAAACATGGAATATGACTCTCCCAATGATCTTCATTGTCCAATCAGCCTTTCTCAGCCACTCAGCCTAGAAAGAGAATTCCACATTCTGTCTTGAATCACCAGACTCCTCCACCCACGATAATTAGGTTAGAGGTAGATTTTACATTGTTTGTTTCCTGGAAACTGCTTTGCACCTCCCTTGGGAGGCAGCCTTTTGTAGTAGGAAATACTTGCCTTCTGGAACCAGATAGGCCTCATGCCAGTGTCCATTGTCTTAGTTAGATTGCTGTTTTTCTGCGCCTGTGCTTTCTCTGTAACATGGGATGATTTTATCTCCTCCAGAGGTTATTGTAAGGAGGGTCTCAGCATCTCACCCAGCATCCTTTTGTCTTCTTTTTCCGTGTAGACAACTACCATGAATAGACAGGATGATAGGTCCTGGGGAAATAGAAACCCGTGTGTGTAAATTAGGGAAACCAGCACTTAGAACATTGAGTTCAGTCAGCAGTCCCAAACTCCAGTCCCAGCTCTGTTTGTGACAGTGTTTCGACCTTCACTGCAGGACACCAGTCCTAGGGCTTTGTAAGGGTTTTCCCCATAATATACTCTTTATTTGTCTGGCACACAGTAGGGACCCCCTAAGCAGCGGCGGCTGTTAGAGACCATAGGATGTTTACCTTGTCCTCATGGCTGCCCAACCTTGTCATCCACAGTAAACTCCCATAATTTCTCTAAAAACTTCTCTTTGCCACCATCGAATTTCCCAATGAACACTTGGTACCTTCCTGTCCACCCATGTGTTCTGTACTCCACCCAGAATGGGGGACCTACAGAAATGAAAACAAAGTAGGCATAAATGAGTGACTTTGAGAAAAAAAAAAAAAAAACTGAAGCTCCCTGATTGATTGTGCACACATAAGAGAGAAAACATTTGTTAGATTTAGGACTCCCCAAATCCCAAGTAAGTAAAAATTGCTATTTTTCTCAGTACTGAAAATTGAACTTGGGCCTCATACATGCTAGGTAAGGGACTCTACCACTAAACTGTAACCCTTATTACTTTTAAAAAAAAAAAAAAGCGGGGTGGGTGGAGGAAGGGGTCTTGCTATGTAACCAGGCTGGCCTTGAACTTGAGATCTTCCTGCTTCAGTCTCCCTAGAGAGAGTTCTGGGATTATAGGTGTGCTGCCAGTCTGGCCTAAGTGAAGATATTTAAAGAGATACTCATGTCTCTCAATCTATCAAATTATTGAAACAATGAACCCCAAAGAAATGGGATTTTTCTTACAGACACTGAACCCCAGTGGTGGGCTGAACTGGATGTGGATTGAGACTGCTTAGATATTTGTTATCTTTGCCTTCTCTTTTTAATTTCGATCTCACTTCAGAACCTGGAAAGTGGACTTGAGGAGTTTACTGGGTCTCTTTGTGGCCACAGCGAATAAATCTTTTCCTGCTGTCCTCTTTTAATTTGTCTCTTTTAATTGTTTTTGAGGACGGGTCGCTGGAGCAAGGGTGTGATGCCTCACTTTTGTGATAATAATCATGTACCATCAATAAACGAAATTGCCAAATCTGAGTGTGTGACTATGGACCCTGCCTTTAGGGCTTGCCTGGTGATAAGTCAGAGCCCAGGACCAGGGAAGAAGTGGGAACTGAACAAGAAAGAAAGGAGAAAGGAAAGCAGAAAGGAAGGAAAGAGCAGTCACTTACTGCCCATATAATTGTGTTTTGCTGTTTTTGTTTTCCTTAAATTATTTATTATGTATTTGGTGTGTGTGTGTGTGTGGTGGGGAGGTAGGTAGAAGACGATTTCATGGAGTCTTTTTCTTTTTCTTTTCTTCTTTTGGAGACATGGTTTCTCTGTGTGGGTTTCCCTGTATAGCTTTACAGGCTGACCTCGAACTCACAGAGATCCACCTGAGTCTGCCTCCCTAGTGCTGGGATTAAAGGCGTGCGCCACCAAAGCCGGGCTAATTTCATGGAGTCTTAACCAGGGTTTCAGTAATTGAATTTAGGCCCCGCGGTCTTATATTTGCAAGTTCTCCCACCCAGACATCTTCTCAACCTGTTTTAGATGTTGAGACAGTCACTCACTCACTGTGTAGCCTAGGCTGGCATCAACTCGTGGCAATTCTCCTGCTTCAGCATTCCAAGTGACGGGAATTACAGGCGTGAGCCATTGCGCTCTGTGTCTACAGTATTCTGTTCTGTTTTTGCTTTGATTTTAATGAGGATAATAAGACCCTTCTTGTTCTGGAGGGGCGGTTGGGACACCTAGGGCACGGATGAATCTTCTCCAAAGCAGTGCTGCACTCAGGTAGGACGTAGGCCCCAACTGGGGGAATAGAAATACCCCTACTCTTGCGACAGTTCATCTGCGGAGTGGCCCTGAAACGGTAACTGGTGGTCATGCGGAGGTCGCTCCGGCCCGCGGGGGTTGGGGAACCATCAGAACTCTGCTTGTCGTCCCACCTCCAGCTTCCAGCACTAGCTCAGAGGCCCGTCATCCCCCTCCCAGGACCCACGTGACTTCCTGAAAGCCCAGGGCGCCGCCCCTCCTGTCCAGTTTCGATTCCTTCGCCGCTTGCAGAGCACCGCGCGGTGGTGTTTGCCATTGTCCCTGTGCGTCCCGTCGGGTGCCCCCAGGAGCGCGATGGCTGAGCTGTTTCCTCTGGCCGAGGAGCTGTCGTGCTCCATTTGCTTGGAGCCCTTCAAGGAGCCCGTCACCACCCCGTGCGGCCACAATTTCTGCAGGTCGTGTCTGGATGAGACGTGGGAAGTCCAGGGCCCGCCGTATCGGTGTCCGCAGTGCCGCACGGTGTACCAGGTGCGCCCGCAGCTGCACAAGAACACGGTGCTGTGCGCGGTGGTAGAGCAGTTTCTGCAAGCAGAGCAGGCACGGACGCCGGTGGACGACTGGATCCCCCCTGCCCGCTCCGCTACAGCCACCGAGGTGGCCTGTGACCATTGCCTGAAGGAGGTCGCGGTGAAGACGTGCCTCGTGTGTATGGCCTCTTTCTGCCAGGAGCACTTGAGACCGCACTTCGACAGTCCCGCCTTCCTGGACCACCCCCTGCAGCCGCCCGTCCGTGACCTGCTGCGCCGCAAATGTCCCCAACATAACCGCCTTCGGGAATTGTTTTGCCCCGAACATGGCGAGTGCATTTGCCATATCTGCCTGGTAGAGCACAAGACCTGCTCCCCTACACTCCTAAGCCAGGCCAGCGCCGACTTGGAGGTAGGGAATGGCTGCTGAGGGTATAGAGGACATCCCGGGTCAGCTGAATTGTAGAGAGGGCCCACCCTGAGTATCTTGTCCAGTGGCTTGCTGGAGGAGATAGGCTTTACCGGGCCAGAGATCCACCCCTTAACAGAACCTCATGGCCCTAGGCTCCAAAGGCCACTGTCTGTGAGTTGGACAGTGTGGTGTGTGTGTGGGTGTGTGTTTTGGGGGGCGGTATCCCCACTGACCAAGCAGAAAGCAGGAAGATTATATAGCTCCCCCTCTTGCCCATTGCCTTCTTTCCCCAACTCTCTCATGTCTATTTTACGTAGCAAACAGCCGAAGGCACGGCTTAAGGGAGCCTGCCCCCAAGCCAGCGTTTGTACGATGGTGTTTAGTAGTTTTGAATATTGACTATGAACCCTGGGGGTTACGTCTCCCAGATCCTGGCAGCATGCAAGAACTGTGCACTCTTAGTTCTTTCCACAGTTCAGGAAAAGAGGCCCAGAGACGTTAGCTTAGCAACGCTGATGCAGTCATTAAGTCCAAACCGTCAGAGCTGGGAACCATGCTGCTTTGACTCACAGTTCTGGTTTCTTGTTCCTCTGTAGACCATGTCTGCTGAGTCCAGAGCAGGGAGCGTTCTTGGAGGTTTGTAAGCAGAAGCCTGTGTTGATCCGGAGAGTTCTAATGGACAGGGAGGGTGGGCAGAGCCCCAGGAATTCCTGCATATGACCTTCAAAGATAACCAGTACTGTTGCACCATGGTGTAGTCCATCTTTTTCTTCCTTCCTCTCTCTCTCTCCCTTCCTCCCTTCCTTCCTCCCTCCCTCCTTTCCTCCCTCCCTCCTTCCTTCCCTCCCTCCTTCCTTCCCTCCCTCCCTCCTTTCCTCCTTCCCTCTCTTCCTTCTTTTCATTTTGAGACAGGGTCTCACTATGCAGTTAGTCCTGGGTGTCCTGGAACTCATAATGTAGACTAGGCAGGCTTCTAACTCACAGAAATCCCACCTGCCTCTGCTTCCCAAATGCTGGGACTAAAGGCATGTTCCACCACACCTGGCTAGTGTAGTCATTCTTGCTGTGTGAAACTGAGCAAGGATTTAGCCTCCCCACCTAGGTCCACCTTGATAAAGACAGGAGGGGAGAGAGAGGTCAGAGTTCCTGAGGACCTTCCAGGGTTGCAATGATTTTAGGAGCTTTAGGTTTGGAGGCTCCTGTCTTCTCCCAGTGGACTCGGCAGAAGCTGCCCCTCTGCCACATTTGTCGAAGTGTGGCCTGATCTCATTTCACTATCAAATGTCTGGGAAGTTGAGGCCTGTCCCAATGTTGTGAAAGGAATCATAAGTCTGGGTGAGGTTGGCAGGCTTTGCAATCGATGCCAGGAATGGGATCCCGACTCTGCTCCCTCTTACCACAGCCCTTCCCTGACCTTGCCTGGGTCTTAGCCAGGTTCCTCAGGTTGCCACCCCGACCCCCCAATTGTGGCAGTTGATCTCAAAGGTTTATCTTTTGAGTTCACCTCTGCTGTACACCCCATGAGGGTATGGACACCTCCGATTGTATCTGTTCTAGAAGAAAGTCTGCCCAGCCTTTGGAGCCTGGGGCACTGCTTTGCTCCCACAGAGCTGTTTGGCTTAATGCAAGTCACTGCAGATCTCTGGGTAGGTTGGGCCTCCTGGGAAGTGTTTTGGAGTCAGGATCTCATGATAGAAGGCCTGGAGCTTATGAGGGAGGCTCCTACTAGATTCAGTGCTAAGATATGGGTTTAAATCCTGATCCCTCTTGTAGCTTCTAGATGCAAAATGATAAAATGGGGTACACAATGGTTACAGGTTATAGTGAACAGGGGGCGAAGCTGGTGTGGTGGGTGACTCATGCCTGTAATTCCAGTGCTTGGGAAGCTCAGACAGGGAGATCACCATGAGTCTGAGGACAGCCTGGAGCTACATAGTTTTAGGTCAGCTCCAGGGTGAAAGTCTGTCTCAAAACAACAAATGGCCGTCGAGATGGCTCAGCTGGTAAAGGCACTTGATACCAAGGCTACCACCTGAGTTTGATCCCTGGGTTAGAAAGAGAACCAACTCCAACAAGTTGTCCTTTGACTTGATATCCATATGCACGTGGTCTTGGATGTGTGTGGATGGACACACACACAATAAATGTAATAAAAATTACGGAAAAAAAACCAATAAAAATAAGAAAGTAGGCAAGGCAGTCTATAAAAAACAACTTTCTGCAAAAATCTCCGTATAGGTTACTATCATTTTCCTTATTGGGCCTGAATGGATGAGGCACTCTGTGCTCTGGGGCAACCCCAGAGAGAACACATTATCCTGATGGTCTCTGTCTTGGTCAAGATGACTTGCCAGTGATCCTGGCAGTAACCTGGCTTCCAAGGAGGGCGCTTTTATAAGTACCCGTTCACCAAGGCAGAAGGGGCCTGCCTAGCCTGGCCTGAACCTCTGCTCTCTTGCAGCCTTTTTGCCTAGGGTTGGAGTGAATGACCAGGCCCGCTATCATTTTTAATCCTGATAGCAGGATTCCCCTGCCAACCCTGTGCCTATGTTTTTTTTAAACCCCGCTGCTGCTCTTGCTGTTTGAATGCAAGCACTGCTTAGTCTTGGGTATCTTGGCTGCTAGTTTGGGGGTGCAGACTCAGGATTCCATTCTCTCCAGTGAGGAGGATCTAGGTCCTTTGTCTGCAACAAGGCTCCCAAACTTCAAAAGGGTCTTTATTTTTGGTCAATGGACTGTATCGTCATCTAAGTCCTTGAGCTACTTCCCTTTGATTTGAAGTAGGGTGGAGTGGTCCCCCTTGCACAATGAGGGGACTGTTATCTATTTTGAATAGTAGTGGATGAATCTTTCAGCAGGGAGGGCTCCCAGTGCAGTGCCGTTCTGGAAGTGAGCCAGTTACTAGCAGGCTAGGGAGGCAGGCAGGATCTTTTTGGGTTTGCCCTTTGGCCCAAATCTATCTCAGCCTCTGTTGGAGGCCTGGGGGTAGGGCTGTGTCACAAAGCTTGGGTCAAACATCACTGATCTGGACTGTCTGGCTAGAGTTTGTGCAGCCTTGATCTCTGTATCCAGCCAGCCCTTACATGTGACAGTGGATGGTTGAAATCCAGTCTCCAGGTCAGGTCCAGCCAGGGGACTCTGATGGAGTACAGGAAGCAGGAAAGTAGAAGAGAGGGCAGCAGGGTGTTGAGCTGGTTGGTTAGGGGAAGAAAAATGTTTGCTTTTTCCCTAGAAATTCCTAGCATACACAGTTTGGTCACTTGTCTATGAGTTTACTACTAGAACCTTAGCTGTGCCAGTTACTAACGATGTGGTTTTGGGTGAGTCACCAGAGTTCTCTGTGCCTCGATGTCCCTTCTAGGCATTGCTTTTCGATTTAAAAAGTTAATAGGTGTCAGGTGCCAGGAGAGTGCCTGGCGCATGTAAGCACTTCATAACAGCCCTTGTCTCTGTAGGCCACCATTCCATCTGAGCAAGGACATAGGGGACCATGCTTCTGGAGTTGGCTAAGAGCCAGGTGGTTTTGAATCAGCTTAGCTGTTTCAAGCCTGGATGACCAGCTTATCCTGATTCCCAGCGTTTGGTGGCCCCAACCTGGGGTGACCAAGTACAGTTTGGTATTTGTCCCTGCTTTGCCGCCCAGCTTCCTTCTGCAGTTCAAAGGCACCTCTGGGGATGGCAGCCTTAAGTGTTGGGCTCCTTTGCTAGGTCCCCTTCTCCTGGAAACTCCACTGCTTTGTTAGTTCTCTGGTGTCTTGTTAGTGTATCTTCACTTTGATATTTTGTCTGCTTTCATGTGTGTTTGCTGTGGTAGGGTGAATGACCTCACCCGCCATTACAGAAGCAGCTGTCCCAGATCGTTATGTCCCTGGTGGTTGCTCACAGCCCGCCTTGTTTGGCTTTCGTGAGCTATAAAATGAGTACTAGGAATGAAATGTGTTGACTAGAAGCTGATATTTACTATGGCCTTGGGCAGATCCAGGTCATGCTCTGAACATGGGCCTTGCATTGGTTAGTCTTCCTGGTAGCCCCTGTAGGCAGACACATTGGTATCTGTTCATGGCAAAGGAATAGGTCAAAGACACACAGCTGGGAACAGGATTTCCAACAGTCCTTTTGGTTTCAAGTCTTCATGTTTCTGTATTGTCTGCCTAACAGGGTAAAGGTGGGCATCAATTACAAGAATCCCAGAGTAGGCAGAAGTACCAGTGGGATGGATGGCCCCCAGTGTGGGGAGACTGGGAGGTGAAAGAGGGGATCTCTCACCCTGTATGTTTCCTCTACAGAACAAACTGAGGAATAAACTCACCCTCACCCACAGTCACATCAACGGGGCAACCAGAGCAATGGAGGAAGTGAGAGCCAAGCAGCAGGGTGTGCAGGTGAGTGACTCCGCCACCCCAGCCTGGAAATGCCAAAGCACCATCCATCCTTCAGGGAGGACAGGCATAGTGATGACCTCATCATGACTAGGCGTGTAGCTTTGTCAGTAGAGTGCTTGTATAGCTCCCTTGAAGCCTCGGGTTCCATCCTAGCACCACAGAAACTGCAGGCAGATCTCTATGAGTTTGAGACCAGCCTGGTCTATAAGAGCTAGTTCCAGGACAGTCTCCAAAACCATAGAGAAACCCTGGAATCCAAGCCACAGTAGAAGGAGAGAACCAACTCCACAGAGTTGACCTCTGACCTCTAAACCCACGCTGTGGCGCAGGCCTCCACCCCAATAGTAAATAAAAACTAAGGTAAATAAATAGGCCAGGTATGGTAGTGCACACCTTTAATTCCAGCACTCAGGAACTAGAGACAGTCGGATCTCTGTGAGTTCTAGGCTAGCCAGGACTACATAGTGAGACCTGATCTTAGCGGGGAGGGGGGTGGGCCGAGGAGAGATGGCTCAGCGGTTAAGAGCACTGACTGCTCTTCCAGAGGTCCTGAGTTCAATTCCCAGCAACCACATGGTGGCTCACAACCAACTGTAATGAGATATGGTGCCCCCTTCTGGCCTGCAGGGACTATACAGGCAGTGCACTGTATATACATATTAAATAAATAAATAAATTTAAAAATGAGAAGGAAGAGGAAGCAGAAGAAGGAGGGGAAGGAAGAAGAGGAAGAAAAAGAAAGAAATGTGTCTCGGGGAGAATTCTTCCTGCCTCTTCCAGCATCTAGAAGCTAAGGTCTTCCTTGTCTTGTGGCTGCCTTTTCTTCCATTTATAATAAGACCCTTGCCGTATGGCTCAACACCCACCTGGCTAACTCAAGATGATCTCACTCTTGATTTAAGCACATTTGCAAAGATCCTTGTACTAACAGAGATCAAATTCACAGACGCTAGGAGGATATGGGTGGATAGTTTTGTTGTCTGAAATTAACTAATAGGATATATAGGAAAAAAAACACTAAGACGGAAATATCATAGGCTAGCGGAGGACATGTTGCCATGTTAAATCAATGGCAGATTTATTATCCATTTTCTATTTAAAAAATATTAAATTAGCTGGCGTCTTTAATCACAGCACTCAGGAGGGAGAGGCAGGTAGATCTCTGTGAATTCAAGGTCAGCCTGGTCTACAAAGCAAGTTTCTGGACAGCCAGGGCTTCTACACAGAAAAGCCCTGTCCTGAACCTGCCCCTCCCACCCCCAAAAAATTAAGTTATGAGTATTTTGCCTGTTTGTATGTGTGTACCAAATGCATGCCTGGTGCCTGTGGAGTGTGTCAGATCCCCTGGGACTTGAGTTACAGATGGTCATGAACCTCCATATGAGTGCTTAGAATCAAACTGTCCTCTGGAAGAGCAGGCAGTGTTCTTAACCACTGAGCCTTCTCTATGGTACCATATTACCTTTATATTGAAAGAAAGGAGCTGGAATTTTAAGAATACCATTGCTGAGCTGCAGCAACTGTGCCTTCATTGATGGCTTCAGTTGTGTTGGTGGAGATGCAAGTTTCAACCCCCCCTCCCCCCCCCCCCCCCGAAACACACGCAAAGCAACCACAACTCCTCTGAGAAGATAGTGAGACCTACAGGGTGAAGGTAGAATTATGAATATTGGTTGGTTGGAGGGCAGGCTAACCTCCTAGGATTAGGATCCATTTAAATGCAAATCAATAAGGTGGTTCATTTTGTTCAGTTTAACAACCTAAGTCCACACAAGAGCAACTCTTGACCCTTAGCATGGCTTTGCTCCAAATGAACATTCCTACTGTCCCACTACTCCACAGTTTGATGCTCTCATGCCTTTGATTGAAGCTGGATTTTTTTTTAAGCCAAAGGCTATTATAGAAACTGGCTGTCAAGGCAGAAGGTACTGAAGAACAAAGATGCTGGCAGATCCAGGATTGCACAGGCTGTAATATATTAAGGATTTATTGGCAGAAGGATATGTTAAGTAGTAGCAAAACAAGAGGATCCCCCGGATCCCTGTGTCACAAGGCAGGAGGGAAGGGGTTTTTTTTTGTGCTAAGATAGGCAAAGGTGGCTCATGGCCAACTGGAATGTACCTAGATTTTCTAAAATAATAATAATAACAACTATTAACATGTCGTGTAGGGTTTGGGATTTGTGTTAGGGTCATATAGCAGTTACCACCAAGATGGCAGAATTCAGCCCAAACTGGGTCCTTACTCTGGGTCACCTTTACCTGTTTGCTCTAGCCTGGGAAAAGGGAAGCAAGATGGAAGATACCAACAACAAGCAACTTCCTCTTAAGCAATCAATGTGGTGTTGCACATACTACTTCTAGCCTTGCCTCACGGGAGGCAATTTAGCCACTTAGCCACCCTGGCTAAGCCCATTTGCAGGGTAGTCTGGGAAATGTAGTCTGAGAAGCTGTATACCCACTTGACACTCCTGGGGTGTTCTCTTACTAAAGAGCAAAAGAGGAAATGAACACTGAAGGACACTGGTGTTCACAGAGGAGGTAGTGGGAAGGGCTGGATGAGAGGCTCAGTGAAATGGCTCAGTGGGTAAAGGGGTTTGCTGCACAAGCCTGACAACCTGAGTTTGATCCCCAAGACCAGAGGAAGAGGAGAACCAACTCCTGAAAGTTGCCCTCTGACCTCCTGGGGGGAGTGTGCAATCAACAACAAAATAATAGTGATTAATAATAAATGTAACAGTTTTTTAAAAGTTGAATTCCACTCTTTTGGTGTACAGTATTTGTGTTTGTCATGTTTGATTCTAAACTATTGAGGTTAACCAAGAAGTTTGTTCAAAACTACAACCTTTGAAGCAACACTGTCTACCAGAAACATTCCAGACATCTCTGATTTTCTTGTTTTGTTTTTATTTATTTATTTTTTCCGTGACAGGATTTCTCTGTGGCTTTGGAGGCTGTCCTGGAACTAGCTCTATAGACCAGGTTGGCCTCAAACTCACAGAGATCCACCTGCCTCTGCCTCCCAAGTGCTGGGATTAAAGGGGATACCACTGCTGTCTGGTATCAAGTCTTTGACATCCAGTGTCTACTAAGAGTCATGATAGATCTTTTCTTGAATTTGGCACATTTCAAATGCGCAGCAGCCACGTGGAACACTCAAAAAGAGAGTTCTAGGGAATAATCCTCTTCCGGAAGTTTTTGAAATTGTTTCATGCCTTCTTTTAAAAATTTACTAGGGGCCAGGCAGTGGTGGTGCATGCCTTTAATTCCAGCACTCAGGAGGCAGAGGCAGGTGGCTGTCTGTGAGTTACAGGCCAGCCAGGGCTACCCAGAGAAAGCCTGTCTTGAAAAATAAAATGTTATGTTAACGTCTGCAGTGTATCCCTCCCCGTTCCTAATTTATCATATTTATTCCCTAATCATTTATACCCTAAACACAAGCTCATTCATTCCCGTGTGTTTACATATTTATGCCTTTTTGTTTGTGCATGCATTCCTTGGTAGCAAACACCGCCATTCCCTCAGTGTCTAAGCTTTGTGTGAAAAGAATCACATAGCTTATGTGTTTTCCCTTGTGAGCTGGATCCACTTGTACCTCCAGTTTATCGTTTAATGTCTCATCCTAGGATGGTTCTCAGTCTTTGCATCAAGTCTCTCCTGTACTTAGCTTCCCCACCCCCAGATAGCTCAAGTGTCCCTCCTGCCTCAGTCTCCAGAGGAACTGGAATAATAAATCTGTGCCACTGTGACCAGCTCACTTTTTGCTGTTTCAAACAATGATGCTTGTGAACAGTTGTCTCCCCCTCATCTCCCACCCCAGTTTGGAGACAAGGGTCACACATAACCCAAGCTGGCCTCAAGTATGCTATGAAGCCAAGGATGACCTTGAACTCTTGGTCCTCCTATCTCAGCCTCCCAAGTGTTGGGATTACAGTTGTGAGTCACCATACCTGGCTGTGCTTGTTAACATTCTTTTTGTTGTTTTGTTTGTTTGTTGAGAGTGGGTTTCTCTTTGTAGCCCTGGCTGTCCTGGAACTCACTCTGTAGACCAGGCTGGCCTTGAACTCAGAGATCTGCCTGCCTCTGCCTCCAGAGGCATGGCTGCCTAGAATGGTGCCATGAAGTGTCATACAGTTCCTGGTGCTCCCCTCTCTCCGACACACAGGAATGCGGCCTTAGCATTTTCACCCATCTGACAGGAGCCCCTTCATTTTTGCCTTGTAGGACTCTATGAACAGGAAAAAGGAACAACTGAGGCAAGAATATATGGAAATGAAGGCTATCCTTGATTCAGCGGAGACCAACTTGATGCGTAAGCTGAAGGAGGAGGAGAAGCGGATCCACGGAAAGCTGGACAGCATCTACCAGGTTCTTGCCAAGAAGAAGAGTGAGATGCAGAACCTGAAGGCGGAGGTTGAGCTCACCCTGTCCAAAGGGGACGAGTTTGAGTTTCTGGAGGTGAGTCGTGACGAGGGTGCTGCTGTGTGTGTGAATATCTCAGCGTTGATAGTAGTTTGGACCTCACAGAGTTGGGGCTGGAAGTGTCCCGGAGACACGCTGTATTTCTATGCTCTGCGATAGCTTACCTAAATTTGGGGCTTTGGAGAACATCTGATTATTGTCCCACAGTTCCCTTAGCTCAGTATCTGGGTGTGGCTCCCTGTTGTTGACAAGGCATCAATGGTCTAGCTTCAGGCTGGGCTGTTTTCCAAGCATACCTGACTACAGGCAGAGTTTAAGTTCCTTGGGGCTATAGATCAAGTGTACACTTTCTTACTGGCTGGCTGATGAGGCCTTCTTTCAACTTGGCATCATATGCTTCCTCAAGCCAGCAGGAACATTTCTCCCTCTATCTAGGAAGGCCCGCTTTCCTCTATTGAGGTCTTTTACCCAGTTAAGTATCCTGTCTGCCCCTCCCCCGGCAGGATAATCGCCCTCTTGATTAATTCTTTTATCTGGTTTGATGTCTTCCTTACTCCTGCGGTGTACCTCCTCTGTTCCTTGTAAGTTTGTTGTGCAGTAACAGCCTATCCCACCCGCCCTGTTGTGCTCAAGGAGATAGTTACGGAGGGTGTGTATAAGAGGAGAATTGTGGTACCAACTCAGTTTGTCACTCACTGCACAAGTGCCTACCTTCTCTTCCTGTCCTTTCTCACGTGGTCCCTGAAAATGTCTTTCTGAAGCATGGCTGTCCAGTTCTGTTTGCCTCTGTGCTTCTTAGCATGGTGCACGAATGAGGTCCTTGCTGTCCAGACTTGGTCTTTGCTGTCAAGTTCGTCTCTTGCCCGTATCCTTTGCCCATGCCTGTGTTCTGACCACAGCAGGCTCTACACTCTTCATTCCCACTGAGTCCTCTTCTGCCCAGTGGATTATGCCCTTTTTCCAGGGCCACCCCTTGAGTCCCGCTGTTACATATTATTAGTGTGTCAGAGTATTCCCACTCCACCATCACCACAGCACTGAAGATGTCATTTCAGATGTGCTTGCTTTCGTGTATCCTTTGGCTGTAAGCCACATCTTGTCACTACCCCCTTCTCCCTCGCCGGTCCAGTGCAGGGCCCAGATCTCTGGGATCTACATGGTTTGGTCCCCCAAGGACCCAGATTCCCTGCTAAGTACAGGAATGATGGAACTTGCTCTGTGTGTAATGCCTACTGGTGCCCTGGTGGAGGTTTTATGCTGCCCCTGGGAGCTCATTCCTGTGTTTTCTGGGAAAGGATTCAGAGTCCTTGTCTGAGTCCTCCTCATTCAGGAGGACTCAAATTAGTGAAATAACTTTGTAACTTCAATGACACCCCCATCCCGACCCCCATCCCATAGAAGATGTTCTAGATCAACCTTGTATGCCATGAGACATTCCTACCCATTATAAGACCTTCAGTTAGGCCTTCATTAGGGTGGAGGGTTCTGTATTTCTTGGGAGGAGAGGAGGAGCTCCAGAGACTCTTATTGGCACAGTTTCTGGCAATCCACCTGCTATGTCTATACCTCTTTCCTGGATTTGTAGGATAATTTACCTCTGAGGTCCTTCCAGTATTTATTTATTTATTTATTTATTTATTCATTTATTTATTTATTCATTTGTTTATTTTTAATGTATGAGTGCTCTGTCTGCATGTATGCCTACATGCCAGAAGAGGATATCGGATCCCATTATAGATGGTTGTGAGCCACCATGTTGGGTACTAGGAATTGAACTTAGGGCCCCTGGAAGAGCAGTCAGTGCTCTTAACCGCTAAGCTGCCTCTCCAAACCCCAGCTCCAGTTCTTAAAGGAGCACTTCAATTGCTGGTGACCTTGGGTTTGTGATTGAAGCAGGCAGTTGGACTCATTGTTGACATTGGAAATACCTTGTGGGATTGATTAGGATGAAGCCCAGGCCCTGGCTTCTCAAGAACTGCCTGTACTTAACACCTTGGCTTGTTCCAGAAAGCGGCAAAATTGCAAGGAATGTCAACAAAACAAGTCTACATCCCCAAGGTAGACCCAGACCACGAATTGATAAAGGGGGTCTACCAGAGTGCATTGAACCTCAAAAATGAGCTGAAGCAATCTTTCAAGCAGCTACAGGAGAAGAAAGCTGAAGAGCCCCTTGGCCCAGGTAACAACAGTGATGCAACGCTGATGGTCCCTATGGTACCTTGGGGTGTGATCCAGAATATCAGGACTTGAATTTCAGGGGTCCTGAAACTGCTTTCTCCCTTGAATGTGCCTCTGCTTTGTCCTGACATCACAGCTATCCTTCCAAAAAGAGGTTTGAGGCTTGGTGTTCCGATGGGCTCTGGAGACCAGCTTGGATAGGTTTTGGGTGACTCTGGACTACCAGCATGTTTGGTCAACAGGGACATATGGTTAGTTCCAGGATCAAAGAAACTTGAAATTACTCCTTGGCACACCTTTCCTTTTTTTTTTTTCTTTTCTTTCTTTCTTTTTGGTTTTTCGAGACAGGGTTTCTCTGTATTGTTTTTTGGAGCCTGTCCTGGAACTCCAGGCTGGCCTTGAACTCACAGAGATCCACCTGCCTCTGCCTCCCGAGTGCTAGGATTAAAGGCGTGTGCCACCAACACCTGGTTCACTTTTCCTTTCTGTTCTTGACATCTTAGCCACCATCTTGTTTCACTGCTTCACACACACACACACACACACACACACACCACTTAATTCTTGGAACTGATCCCAATGTATGCTAGGCAAACACTCCACCATAGAACTGAAATCCCAACTCTTAGTTGTTTGAAACAAGATCTCTTCATGTGGCCCAGGCCATCTGCCACCCCCCCCCCAAGTACTGGGATTATAGTTGTGTACCACACCTAGTCATCAAGTTTTTTTTTCTTCTTCCTCTGCCCTCTGTGAGGCTGGGGCTGTTGTCTGTTGTCAAAAGCTGTCCCACAGTGCTGAGGATAGAACCTGATACATTTGTAAAATCCCTGTTGAGTAACACAGGTGATGGCCTTGAACTTCAGTGTGGCCAACCCAGTGTCCTTGCCGAAGGGCTTCTGAAACAGGTGAAGATGAGGCATCTTTTGGAAGGTTCTGGAAGTACTTCACATGGGGTAAATCTGTGAGTGACTAACCTGCTGAGAAAGGGAAGAAAGAACTAGCGGGCAAGAAACTGACATTGGCCTAGTCAGCAGACATCTTGACCTCATTTCAGGGTCCTATCAGCCATCATCAAGTTATCATTCTCCTTGATGGATGGCCAAAGAAACCAAATCTCAGAGAAGTGTCAGAATTGGTTGCTGAGGAGGAGATTTCATCTCCAGTTGCTTTTTCAAGCAGAGAAGAGAAGGAACAAATTGGTCCTCCTAGCATTTTATTTCTGTCTCTTGTAAATGGCTGGATATTCATGGGGAGGGCTGTCTGTGTGGATGTTCTGCCCACAGCTTTGACAAACCTACCTCTTGGAGTTGGTAGGGAGGAGCCACCTACATCCAGCCCCTTTTCTCTGGCACAGGTAGCATGGTAGATAATGATACAGAGTCCACACTCAAACATCGTCCTGGGAAGAAGACACCACGTAAGTAGCCTCTTCTTTTTTTTTTTATTTTAAAGATTTTATTTACTTATTATGTATACGACATTCTGCTTCCATGTATGTCTGCACACCAGAAGAGGGCATCAGATCTCATAACGGATGGTTGTCAGCCACCATGTAGTTGCTGGGAATTGAACTCAGGACCCCTGGAAGAGCAGTCGGTGCTCTTAACCTCTGAGCCATCTCTCCAGCCCAAGTAGCCTCTTCTTATCTCTATGGTGTCACTGCGGCTGTGGCTGAAAGGTGCTTGGCTGAAATCATCCCGTAGGCCACTGCTGCTTCCAGACAGGCACAGCCATCCCAAGTTTTACCAGGGTCTCAACTGGAGAAATGTTCTGAAACAGGCCCCGTGTAACAGGTGGTGCAGGGCCAAGCAGGCGCTCCTGAATCCTGAAAGGTGACTTCACCATCCACCCTGGCTGTGTGGGATAGCAAAGTCACCAAATCTGTCATGTGTTTGAGGAAACACTTGACACTCCAAGCCTAGTCAATAAATGTGCTCTCTGCCCAACTGGCTTTAATGCACACTGTTGCAGTGGTTCTCCCTTTTTTTTTTTTTTTTTTTTTAATCTTTCCTGTCTTTAGTTTGTGCGTGTATGTGTGTTTATGCTTGTGTGTGTGTGAGTGTGGACACGTGGTGCATGTGTGAAAGTCAGAATTCAATCTTGGTTGTCAGTCATTACCTTCCACCTTGTTTGAGACAGGGTGTTTTGTTTGCCATGGCATAAGCCAGACTCACTGGTCTGAAAGTTTCCGGGTTCTCCTATGTCCGTAAGCCATCTTACCATGAGAGTTCTGGGAGACATGCATGCTACCCCATCTAGCATTATCTGGGGTCTGAAGATCTGAACTCGTGTTCTCATGCTTGCATAGCAAGTGCCCTTTGCCCAGTGAGCCATCTCCTGAGCCTTGTGTTTCTCACTATTTTCCTCTATTGACCTCTCCCACTGAGCCATAGGCAATGTTTTCCTAATTGTCCCCTCCAGTGAAAATTTGATTCTACGCGTGTACAGTATATCGGTTTATTTATAAAAAGAATAAGCAGTAACCAGGGCATGGTGGTTGCATGCCTTTAATTCCAACACCTGTGAGTTTGAAGCCATCGTGGTCTACATAGGGAATTCCAGGACAGCCTGGGCTATGCAGAGAGACCCTGTCTCAAAAAAAGGAAAAAAAAAACAAAAAAAAAAAAACAAAAAAAACTCGCTCTCTAGACCAGACTGGTCTTGAACTCACAGAGATCCACCTGCCTCTGCCTCCCAAGATTAAAGGCATGTGCCACCACCGCCTGGCAAAAGAACACCTTTTACACCCCACACCTCAAGCCTTAGATTTTTATCCCTGTTCCCCTCCTCCATCGGGGATGGTGTCACTGTCACTGGGAATGTGGACATTGGGCTGGAGAAGAATAGTAGGAATCTCCTTGCTCCTCACATTTGGAAAATAATGACAGTTGAGCCCGTGGGATGAAAGCAAGTGAGGTTCCCATGGGACACACTGATTGTTAGAATTCTTTATAACCCTTTTAAACCAGCAAGCTGTAACTATTTCCCCGAGGTCTACTGAAAAGGCATCTAGATGCCCGCTGCTAGTGTTGTCAGGGGTGTAAGAGGTGCACTTTACTGCTTGTTGCTTGTATATAATGTGTGAGTTGTCTTTAGCAAACCACTGTTGGGCATTGGTCTCTCTGTGGACTAGAACACCTAGTGACAGGGTGTGCTTGGAAGAGCCCTGGGGAAGGCAGGATGTGTTTTTTGTTGTTGTTGTTGTTTTGTTTTTGTTTTGTTTTGTTTTGTTTTTGTTTTGTTTTTCAAGACAGGGTTTCTCTGTGTAGCTTTGGAGGCTGTCCTGGCACTTGCTCTGGAGATCAGGCTGGCTTCGAACTCACAGAGATCTGCCTACCTCTGCCTCCCAAGTACTGGGATTAAAGGAGTACTGGGATTAAAGGCGTGTGCCACCAACGCCCGGCCAGGATGTTTTTCTAAGCACTATTGTGACATTTTAACCAAGACTATTTTTTTCTGACCTCCTCTTTTTTGCTTGCTTTTTTTTTTTTTCCTTTTGCAGAGTTCTAATCTGTAGCAAAATGCACAGACCCTAAATGTATAGTTAAATATGTCTTTGACAAATGGGTTCCATCTTATCATTACCCAAACCAACGTAAACACTTCTTAGAAATTCCTTCCTATTTCCTAATAGTCTATAACCCCATGACCCCATGACCCCATGACCATGGTCAGGGTTCCTGTCCTTGCAGATGTGTGTTTGTCCGCCACCCCCTATATTTCAAGTTAGGCAGGCTAGCCTTCCTTAGTTTGTATGTGTCAAATGCATATTGATGAATGTTACTATGGTCTTTTGTGTATGCTTTAAAATTCCTTAATCCTAAAATCTCTCTTTTTTTAGAGGAAAAGAAGACCAAGAAACCAAGTAAGTTGTACATTTGTGTATCTCTTGGTTCTCAAGACTTGTGTGAGTCTAGAGCTAACGTTGAGAGCAACAGCTGTACTGCTTTAACAAGGGTTCTGCCATGGCCCTGTTCTTACAAATGTACGCTGTGAAGGCAGGCAGGCTTGAGCAGGGAAGGGAGGCCCACCGTGCATGAGTAAGAGCCTTATCTGGACTCACTTGTGTGGCCCTGGCTGGTCAGATGTGTTTGTGAAAGTTGACAGCCATCTTAGAAGGGGGGAGAGGTCATCCAGTCCTCTGTGTCATATTGCTGTTTCACCTTTGTCTTCTCTTGGCTCTCAGCTGGTGCTACCGGCTCCTTTCCCAGCTCTTCCTCATTCAACAAGCTTCCCACCTTTGGAGCTCCTGGACAGTCAATGGATTTTAAAACAACTGACCCTGATGGTGAGTTGTTGTGACCAAGTGCCAGAGAAATATCTGCCATTTGTCCCAAGCTTGTCTTGAATACCTCTCTCTGTTTCCTCTTCTAGCCGCACCCAAAGCCAACACCTTGCAGCCAAACTCTACTGCACTCAAAGCTAAGATGCTAGAAAACTTCTTAGCCAAGTCTAGGGCCGAGCTTCTGGAGTGTGAGTAGCTTGACTATGTGGATGGAAGAGTGGGTGGGCAGATACAGATAAATGGGTAGATGGATGGGTGGGCAGGTAGTTGGATGAATAGACAGATGAATGGGTGGTCAGTGTACCAGTGAGTGGGGAGTTGGATGGGTTAATAGATGATGCGTGTATCTGAGTGGGTGTTTGGAGAGATGAATGGCTAGTTGGATGGGTGGGTGGGTGGGTGGGTGGGCAGATGGATAGGTGTATGTGGATAGGTAAATGGATGAATGGGTAGGTGTGTATATGGTCGGGTAGATGGATAGATGAGTGGGTGGGTGAGTGAATGGATGGATGAATGGATGAAGTGTGAGTGGGTAGGTGGGTATGTGGATATGTGGATGGATAGGTGAATAGCTGGGTGGATAAAATAAATGTATAGATGGGGAAGGCTTTAAAAGTGAAAGTACCTTGGGTCTCTTGTCATTGATTCCCGGGGGGTGTTTTCTCAGATTACGTTAAAGTCGTCTTCGACTACAATACTGCCCACAACAAAGTGGTTCTGTCAGACAACTACACCACCGCCTCCGTGGCTGAGGGACTTCAGCACTACCGTACCCATCCCCAGAGATTCACCTACTGCTCTCAGGTTCTGGGGCTACAATGCTATAAGAAAGGCATTCACTACTGGGAGGTTGAGCTGAAGAAGAACAATTTCTGCGGTGTAGGCATTTGCTACGGCAGCATGGATAGGCAGGGCCCGGAGAGCCGTCTGGGCCGTAATGCCAACTCGTGGTGTGTGGAATGGTTCAACAACAAGATCTCTGCCTGGCACAACAATGTGGAGAAAACCCTGCCCTCCACCAAAGCCACTCGAGTTGGTGTGCTTCTCAACTGTGACCATGGCTTTGTCATCTTCTTTGCTGTCACTGAAAAGGTCTATTTGATGTATAAGTTCAAGGTGGACTTTACTGAAGCCCTGTACCCAGCCTTCTGGGTGTTCTCCGCTGGTACCACGCTTTCCATCTGCTCCTCCTCTAAGTAGGCAGGCCACTAGGCCAGCCTCAGACACTTGGACTTTGAGGAACATCTAAGACTGGTAAAAACGCTGTATGTAGGTGGGATTCTCCTTGGCAAACTTCTGAGTCCCCATAGGTAGGAGATTGGAAGGAGAACTGGGGGAGAGGCTGAGAGAATAAAAAGGGGAGATTTGGCTGGGAAAGGGGTGGAGTGATTGTCTTGTGGGTGGGGAAGCATATCTACCTCCTGGTACCCCTGAGGGCAGGGTGACCTCCCAGAGTCTGGGAAATTTCAGGCTGCTAGCCACTTGGGCAGAGCTTCGAAAGGAAAATCATTAGTGCTTCCTGTTGTCTTACAGAAAATCTGTAGCTATGTTTTTTTCTCAGGTGATGGATGTCCACTCTTTGTGGTTGCCTTCAGATTTTTGTATTTTAATTATGCTCTAGATTTAAAAAAAAAAAATAGGTGCGGTGGTGCATGCCTTTAATCCCAGCATTTGGGAGGCAGAGGCAGGTGGATATCTATGAGTTCTAGGCCAGCCTATAGAGTGAATTTTAGGTCAGCTGAAGCTACATAGTGCGACCCTGTTTCAAAAACAAAACCAAACAAAACAAAAGCCGGGCGTTGGTGGTGGTGGTGAATGCCTTTAATCCTGGCACTCGGGAGGCAGAGGCAGGCGGATCTCTGTGAGTTCGAGGCCAGCCTGGTCTCCAGAGAGAGTGCCAGGATAGGCTCGAAAGCTACACAGAGAAACCCTGTCTCAAAAAAAACAACAAAAACAAAAAAAAAAAAACACAAAAAAACCCAAAATCGAGTTCAGTGTATATATTATCTCTTTGGAGCTAGGTATTGAATCTAGAGCCTTTATATGTCTTACTTCTGAAGTTCATCCTGCTCTGAACTGCCATATAACCCTTCCTCCAAGGAAACTTTTGTAGATAAGGCTTCAAAGTCTCATCTGAATCAGCTTGTGTCAAAGCAACCCTGATCCAGTTGAGACAGAATTTCTTCCTCTCTAAGGGGCATCTCATCAGGGCCATGTTGATTGTGGCCATAGAGCTAGACGCCTTTCTTCCCATAGCCTGTGTTGGGAGTGGGGATAGGGGAGCAGGACCCTATCAGGCTGGATTAATGTTAGCCTGATGGCTTTGCTCTTACCAATGTCTTGCCTTGACAACAGTCTTCATCAGTAACATCCCCCTCCTCTGGATTGTAGTTACTGGGCTGTGGCTATAAAGGCCACCTTTTGCCTTCCGTGGCTACCACAGTTAAGAGGTCAGCCACACCACATTCCCATACCCTACAGTCATGCAGATGAAGTACTCGTGGTTGCTTCTGGAGCCATACTAGATCACCCACTGAGGTGACTATCTATGGTCTGAGGGACCTGTGGGAGACAGCTATCTTCCTGTTTTTCCCTAGCCACAGACTACAGGCCCACTGATGTGTCTGAGACCCATCACCTAACCTATCCTGTTCATCTGTCTTCCTCATTTGAGCCAATTCCAGGTGCTCATATAAGACTGAACTGTAGGTTAGGAAGACCTTTAAGGATAAGAAAAAAGCCAAGGAGGGTCTGGCCAGTGGCTGTTTTTTCTGTGGTCTTTCATGCAGTGAAAAATGGCCCAGGCCACTAAAGGGCAGGGATGGAGGACTAGAATCTCCCCACCCTCATGTACTGATGTCAAATCCAGAACGTGTGAGGATTTGGCCTCTGTGACAGGAGTCCAGCTCCTTTTCTTTAGTGGGGAGCTCCCTCTTTAAGCCTTCCAATGAAGAGAGGTCACTGTAGGGAAGGTAGGGCCCCTAGACCTTTCATATGGATGGATATTTGAGAACATAACACATCTCAGATCTTGTAATGGAATTCCAGGGCTCTTACTTAGCATTGGCATTCCTGACAGATGTGTGATCTGTGTCCTCTCCCAGAGGAATGTTCTGTTTCCTGGGAGCATCTTTGCGGGGCACATGTCCCTGTAGATGATGCGTGGCCTTTGAAAGTTTATTTATTTTTTTTTTGCTACACAAGTTCTTTGGTGATTCTTCTCTGAATTTGAAGATTGCCGATCTTCTGAAACAAAGCCTTGTTTGAAACCAAGTCAGACTTGGGAAACATCTAGGTTTAGAGAAGCAGAATGCCAAGGGTTAACTGAGGGGTCCTCCTTGGACTCTTACACAGAAATGAAACTGACAGTCAAGACTCTTTCCAGGCTATGTACAGCTCAGGCTAGGAAGTATGTATCCCTCTGTTTATGAGAGAGCCAAGCAGGTGACCAAAGCCCGGAGCTGTTCAAGGTGCTTTGGAGCTGTAAGTGGAGGAGTATACCCTTGCTGTCTGGTACCTTTCTGTTTGCAATGGTAAGACCTTGCCTTGACCATAAACGTGTCTGGAATCTTGTACCATGGGGTCCTAGAATGGACACAGCCTGTGTATCCATCTTGCTTCTCCTTTTGAGAAGCAGACAGATGGAAAGGTGGAGGATGGCTCTGTTCACCACTCTTGTCATTCCAACATGGAAGAGACACCTAAACACAGGTTACAGGAAAACCCTGGGGGCTCTGTGGACATACAGGAATTGCCAGAAACGTTGATGTAAAATCCTATCCTAGACCCAATGACTGTCTCAGTCACTCTGGTATGATAAACTAAAGGTCAAGTCTTTGCATTATCCAGGACTGGCTGGCTAGTCTTTTTAATTGCTTGGAGATTGATTTTCGATCTATTACTAATATCGATATGTTATCTTTTACATCATTTACCTCCCTCTACTGATTTTAGTTAATTACTAATGTTCTAGCTAATGACTTCTTGAACTAAGTGCTTTAGAAGTGAGTTATTATCAAGATAGTCACCATAAACAGGGCAAGGATGGCTGTTGCCCCTTACTTTGAATGCAGTGAAGCAGAATTCGGTATCCCCTCTGGATTGAGGTGTGGGTGGAAGATGTTGTCACTCAAGCTGAAATCCAATGATGAGGTACACGCCCCCTGAAAGCTACTGCCCAGGGTTTCTGGGTGTTCAGGCCTTACAATCCCTTGAACCCTACCATAGTGTAGCCACCATTTCAGGGAACTTTAAGTAAAAAAATACTCAGAGAGAGGTTGTGTAGGCCTAACTTCAAGACAGTGGCAGAGCAGAACACAAATGAAAACTAAACCCCATTTAAGTAACCTGCAAGGGGAGGTGGGAACCTGGGGCTTGTTTTCTTCTTATTCTTCCTATATTACGGTTACATAGGCTTCAACATTTCCATCATGAAAAGCTAAATAGTGAAATGGAAAATGGCCCAGACCAGAGATGGAGTGTGTTCATGCTCTTTTCTACAGAGGAATAGGTGTCTGGGGAAGTGTACTTTGTTGGCTGTTAGAGGGTTTGACTGGCCTTTGTTTCTGGTTTGGGGGGGTATGTGTGTGGGGTATTAAGTTCTTGGAATTTCCTGAGAGGATGGAGTGTCACTGTTATTTGTCTGCCTTGTGGATCACAGTGGAATTTTTGTCAAGAGAGGGGATGACCCAGGATGGCAGCTGGCCACTATAAAGACCAGCTTGGTGATTTGTTGAGGGTTGAGGCATTGAGCTCAAAGGACCCCTGAAGGGAGAAGAGAGAACTGGGGATTGGAGTCAGTCGGAGACCTCTGGGAATCCTGCCAGTAAATGATGGTTCAAATCCAGACCTAGTGCAACTTCTCTGCAGATGAACACATACATGGCTTTGCTTCGGGCTGATGCACTCTTGTCCTATGACGGCAGGACAAGGAGAATCTGTGCTCTAGATCCTTCCAGAGCTTGCCCTATGTGACTGCTTCTGATTATTTTCATTTAAATAAAGCTCAAATCATAAATACAGTACTGTCCTGCCTTCTGTGAATTCTAGCAAATGACCAAACCATAGGCAGTTCACAACCACTCCCAGGATTTGCTGTTAGTCAGCAGTGTGTGGAGCCTGAGGCCAGGCAAGGGGGTGGGGTGGGGAAACTGTGTCCCTTAACTTGAGGCGCCACATCTAACTCTTGGTGGCTGGCATGGCTCCTGTATGCAGTACAGCAGTTGCTGTTGGAATAGAGGTGATGGACCTGCAAGCTTTGATTAAGTTCTGCTAGGTAGCTTGTGGCATCAAAACACACATTCTTTTGAATGTCAAACTATGTCATTTTAGATTTGTTTTATCACTTACCCTGGAATACCCACAATGTCAGTCAGAGGCTCTTCGGAGATGCCACTTTGTCTCCAAACACTGTCATTCAGCTAAAAGTCAGAATGGCAGTTCAGTTCAGGCCATGTGTAGAGTGTGGGAATGTGCCCTGTGAGTGAAGGTGCCCCTTTGCAGTCCAGAAGAGGGCTGGGGTGATTATGAGCCCCACTACCCACCCAGGTGCTGGGTAGAGGAGTAGGAAGTAAGTTTAACCACTGAGCTAGCTCTCCAGCCCCAAAATCAAAGTGGTTTGTGTTTGCAACAGAATTTCATTTAACCCAGGCTTGATTGACTATGAAGCTGAGTGAGAGTGACCTTCAATTCCTGATCCTCCTACTCCCACCTCCCAAGCGCTGGGAACAATTTTAAAAGTGGTCTGGGGTCTAGTGGAGTGATCCCTGGCCTGAAACAGTGTAATGGTGGAAATAAGCCTATGTTAAAATGAATGTTGAAGTTAGCCTTACTCCACCTGGGAACACGGAGGAAGGTGAAAGAGAAGGCTTGCAGCTGGGTATGGGACAGCCAAGCTGATCTGATAATAAGAGGAAGGACGGGTTGGGGGAAAACAACAAGGCCGGTCTTGGCAGGCTCCAACTGCCTGTGGAAACTCCACATGCGGCAAGGCCCTTATTCTCTTAAGACAAGGAATTGCATCAGACAGAGATGTTTGTGAGGACACCTTCTAAGAAACCCCCCACCCCGCCTTCCCAGGAAGACCATTCCAGAAAGGAGATAGATTAAAGGAAACCAAGGAACGTTACAGCCACTTCTTGAGACCTATGTCCCCTGACGGTCAGAATGGCCCCTGGTGGTTAAACATCTTTGCAGTCATAGATAAGGGCTCAGCACTGTTACATCAATGACATTGTGGTTTTGATACCCATTCCCTTCTGTGGAGATAGATCATGGGAAGAAATTCCCTCGAAAGGGAGATCTGGTTCACCATAATTTCAGACAGGAGAAGGGGCCACCAGGAGTATGCCACCCACCTCATAAATATTCAAAAACAAACAGCTTCTTTTATGGGCTGGCACAATGGCTCAGAGGGAAATTAAGGTACTGTTAGACCCCCAGGAAAACTCAGGTATCCGGGGTCCCAGGCACTGCAGTCACCTCAATCACCAAGTGGATTCGAGAGCTTGCTGCAAACTGCACGAGGCTGAGCTAACCCCATGTTAGCTCACCCACCCGCCATGGCAGATGGCTCGCAAAATACAGCTCCTAGGGCCTCCCAAGAGATCTTACAGGGCGGCGTAAGGGGAGTGTCTAGGGGTACGCACAGGCTCACTATTGGTGTGCCTCCAGGCTTGGAGGGCTTGCCCTGTGTTGATTGGCCAACTGGTTGTTATGGCCCATAGGCCCTGCCAGGGTGGTTGCTATGCTTTGTGTGTCTTTGCTGTGCGCTTGTCCGTAAAGCACACCCAGGGTCGTAAAGCATAGCGCCACCAGCTAACTTCTGATTGGTTCCTTGTCACGAGACAGGCATCTGACTTTCTAGTGACTAACTTCTGATGGGTTCCTTGTCACAAGGCAGGCATCTGACCTCTAAGTGACCAAGGCAAGTTTATGGCAAGCACGTGTTCAGCTGTTATGGCTGCCGAAAGGGGAGCTGGTCCCTTCACATGCATACAAAAAATCCCTCTAAATTTTTTTTTTTTTTTTTTTTTTTTTTGTAATATAAGGTTGACAGCAATTTCTGCTGTGGTTTTTCTCTTGGGATATAAACACACACACCTACATTTACTGAAGAAGTAGGAAGTGTCAACTGGGCAGTCTTGCATAGAGTAACACTCCAAGAAATGTAAGCAGAAAGGTTGGCCTGGTGTTGGATGGTTGTGACTGCTGTGGAACTTTGAACTTTGTCCTGTGAAACCAATGGCACCTGCTGGGTGGGCCAGTTTCTAGTTCCCGATTTCTTCCCCCTTCCTAGTGACTCATAATGAGTCTGTTTAATAGACCTCAAGACACATTTCTTTAAGGCACACAGTGCAGAGTGGTGACCTCTCATCTGTCACTTTTAGGAGCTCCCAGCCTCTGGAGGTTAAAAGTAGGTCAGAAGTCACGGCCAGCATTCATTTCACAGCTGTTTCTTCCTTTTTTCCCCCTCTCCCTTGGCTATATTGGTGTTTGAAACTAGGGACTTGAACATGTTAGGCAAGCATGCTATACTATTGAATGACATCCCCAGGGATGTTTGACTTCTGAGACAGACTTTCACTAATTTTTTTTAGGCTGGACTTGAATTCACTCTGTAGTTCAGGCAGGTCTTGGACTTGTGAACTTCCTGCCTCAGCTTCCAGAATAGCAGGCATGACAGGCCTACACCAGATCAGGATGTAACTCTCAGCTACTATTCTAGTGCCATACTTATTACCCAGCATGCCTCCAAGCTACCCACCACGATGATAAAGGACTGACCCCCCCAGAAACTGAACCCAATTAAATGCTTTCTTTTATAAGAGTTGCCAAGGTCATGATGTCTCTTCACAGCAAGAGAACCATGACTAAGACAATGACCCTCTCTCTATTCCTTCTTAAAACAACAGGGCTCAGAGGATATCCCAGCTCCCACAGCTCACTGACAGCTGCTCCGGTTAAGAACAGCTGCCCCTCCATGTCACACTTGCCCAGCCTGCCTGGCCAGCCTTTGTGAGTCCCTGCTGTGAACTCTGCTTTCCTCTCTCATACAAATCCACAGCATCAGAAGAGTGATTTTCTAATCCAGTAAATTTGTCTGGCCAGGTAGTTGGTGGCTCACACTTCTAATCTCAACGTTTGAGCAGCAGAGGCAGGAGGATCTCTGTGAGTTTGAGGCCCTCTACAAAGGGCCTACCGAGGTCTACAGAGCGAGTTTCAGGACAGACTCCAAAGATACAGAAAAACACTCCAAATCCATGCTTGGGGGTGGATTGGGTTCTATATCCTACAGGGGCCATGGAGGGAAAAGGGGCGGTAAAGAAAACAGGCAAGACTGGAGCATAATAAATAGATGCTGTGTGTTGCTCTAGCTAAGTTTCTGGGTGACCCCTTTGCTGGGGTGAGCTCTTTAGTCTCCAGAAGGCAAAGCTGGGGAAGAACATGAAGGCTTGGAAGTGAGGTATGTGTGTGTGTGTGTGTGTGTGTGTGTGTGTGTGTGTGTGTGTGTTAAATCTAAGCTGTGGGCTGGAGAGATGGTTTATCTATTGAGGAGTTGAGAGTGTTTGCTGTTCTTGTAGAGGACCCTGCAGCTCACAACTGCCTGTGCCTCCAGCTCCAGGGGATCCACCAGACCTGCCACCCTCCCTCCCCCCCTGCAAACATAGAATCATCATCATCATCATCATCATCTTTAAAACTTGAGCTGAGGATGGCGGTCCATACTTGAAATCACAGCACTCCCCAGGCTGAGACAGGGGGTCTTGAGTCAAGGCCCACCTGAGTTACATGGTGACATCTTGTTTCAAACACTAATGACACCCTGATGCTGAATATGTGTCTACCCAGAGTCCTAAGAAAAAAGGGAGGGTTCTCCCTGGAGTCGCCAGCCCACAGCCCAAGCTGTCTGTCCTGCATCCACTCCCCAGTGACACTGCTGGGGAGGGAGTCGCCTTCCAAAGATCTCTCTCCAGGTATCACACTGCTTTACCAACAGGGATCACTCTTGCTGAGGATTTACTGTCCTCCACACCATCAAGGCCTTTCCCAAGGCCTCTCAGAGCTCCTGGGAGCAAATCCCCCACTGTTTAGGGTTTTAGTGACTGAACCACCCCAGGGGTTACAGCAGTGACTCCTTCTCTACCTACAGCATCCCCTGATGTCCCAGTGTCTGAGAATTGCACTCCGAATTATGTGGCAGAGGACATCAGATTTCATAGTGTCACCCATGGTTCCCCTGAGGACACTTTGAGGTGAGGGAAGAGTCTACTGGTGGCCTTTATCCTAACGATGACTCCTTGCTAGTTGATGTTCACAACTCCTTGTTGTGCATCTCAGTTGATTTTATTGGTTGTCATTTTGCCTTCTGGCCACCTGACCTGTCACCTCCATGGTGTAGGGGGAATCTTCTCTGATGGGAGATGTCCTTCTGCATATATGTTTCTCTTATTGGTTGGTGAATAAAACACTGTTTGGCTAACACAGGTAGGAAGATAGGCTGACTAGGAGACGAGGAGAATTCTGGGAAAGGTAGGCAGAGAGAATCCGATGCGTAGCTGCCAAAAGGAGTAACAGGTCAGGGCATTCTCCGGTAAGCCAAGACCATGTGGAAATACATAGATTAATAGAAATGGGTTAATAATTAAGACAGAGCTAGCCAAGAAGAAGCCCTAATCGTAGGCCATCCGTTTTATAATTAATGTAAGTCTTTGTGTGTTTATTTGGGGCTGAAGCGGCCATGGACTTGGAGGGAGAGAAGCTCCAGCAATATTTCTCCACTGCTGTTTTCACCGTGCCACTGTTTCCCACTTCATACAATAGCAGTACCTGGCAATGCCTTTCCTCTTTCTGCTCTTTGTGTTCTGGTCACCACCCAGAACTCCACACAAGCATGGTGCCAGGATGCTGCTTACGGTAATGAACACATCTTTCTTTTCGAGTTATTTTATGTGGATCCATGTTTTAGCTACGCGTCTGTCTGTGCACTACATGCCCTACTGTTGCCTGCAGAGGCCAGAAG